AAATTTAACTGTGATGCATGTTGGACGCAAAATTATTGTCATTTTCAGCAAATACAAAATACAAAACAATAAAAACATTAATTATTTTTACTATGATTTATTACTACATAAAACTATTTTATTTTTAGTTCTAACAAATAATAGTATGGTGGTACTTATGAGGTCAGAATACAGTACTTACAGGGTAATATATGGAGTACTTAGAGGGCATGTAACTGGTATTTACATACATTCTGTTTGTTATATACACCCTGTAAGTGTCCCATATTTTACACTTCAAATACTGGGTACAAATCCTGTAAGTACTGCAAAGGAGCTAGTGCCCAACAACAATAAGGATAATTGTGCAAGAGGTGGGATAAACATGACCAGTCCATCACAGGGCCATGTAGAGACAAACAACTGGTTGTGACCAGTTGTTTGTCTCTACATGGCCCTGTGATGGACTCTCACTTACACCTAGGAACAATTTAATAACCAGTTTACAACTGTTTGTCCATGTAGCACNAGAAACTGTTTAAACACATCCTCTTACAAATACTGACAAGTACTACGTGTACCAAATGTGAAATAAATAATACAAACTACTGTTAAAAGTAAAAAGAGTTTAACTTACAGTTGTTTAGGGGTTTGATGGTGGACTTCAGTCCCCCTGCTGGTCGGGTCAGAGCACTGCCGTTATGTGTTTTTGAACTTGTATTATTTTTTCATTATGCAGTCCGTTTTATGAATGCATCAGTTTTCTTTTATGGTTGTTCATCATAAATCCACTATGTACTTTATTGTTGTACTACATGACTTGAATGACAAACTGAAAGCCTCCAAATGTTTTTCTCTTCAGCAAATTGTTGTTTATAAAGAGTTCATCTGGTCCCAAATGAGGCAGTGGTCATGTCCCCCTGGTGGTCTGGATTAGTTACTGTTTGTAATCCATCTTTTCTGTGTTCCATGCATAATGTCTTATTTTGACAGGTAAAACAATTGTACTTGTACATTTGATTTGTACTTGTAATGTGGCAAAATTGTAACAAGTTTATGTAGTTTATAGACTTCCATGTACAAATTTAGACTGTAACACAATAATTCTGACAGTTTTCTTACCCGATATCACATCCCCAGCAATCAGCAGTTGTAGGATTAAGTTGTAAAAGAGTTCATACACCACTAGTTGGCAGTGTTGTACATATATTGTACATGAAATGTTGTCAGTTAATAAGTGTCAAATTGAACTTGTGCTTTAAAATTAGCTTCTGCTAGTTTTTCTATGGCATAAGTGTTTTTGAAGTTGCGGACCTAAATATTTTCATAAATGCTTTAGAAATTGTGGAGCTAATTTTTGGATTAGCGCTGCCCACCTCTGGCTTTAGCCGAGCAGCTCTTTACTGCTGAACGTGCGTTTCATAAACACACTTTCATAGTTGGGATTTCTGTTGTTTCTGTGTGTGTAATTATATATTCTTCTCTTCTATTACTTAAATAAAAAGACTTGACGAGCAGTATACACTGATTTGTCTTAACTAACAACGCAGTAGAAAAGCAGTTATCTTATTAGATGTAAACTTTATCAGGATAACTTATTGCATTAGGTGCTAAAATCATGAGTATAAATGTGCACAGGGAAATAAAATTTCAGGTTCTGTGTAATGGTATGACACTGTTTTTTTTCCACAACAGGATCGATGGTTGCATTTGTTTCAGCTGGTTGAAAAGCAATATCAAGAGCAAATACTGGCTCAGCAAGAACAATATCAGTGCCAAATACAGGTAAACCTGCATTTATCAAACTGACCTGGTAAAGCTGCAAATATTGATTATTTTTGTATTTGACTAATGGGTCAATTTTTGTTCGTTTTGTCAATTAGTCAACAATTGTTTTAATCAGTCAATGCATTATAAATTATAAAAGCACTATAAATGTTAAGAATTGTCCAGTGTGACACTAACTTTACGCACTAAACTTACTGATCAAAAGGAAGTCGCTCCTCCTCTCTAGAGGGATTTGCAGCGGTGCTGCTGTAGTGTTTTCAGGGAAATGCTCACAGTTTTAAAAGTCTCAGTTTTCCTAACTCGTAACCTCTACCTGTGTTTCATTCACCATGAAAATGCACAAATTAGAATTTTGAAAATAAATTTGCTCAATGGAAACAGGTCACTTTTGAAAAAAATTAAGTTTTTCAACAAAATGTTTTTGCACTAGGATGAGGTGGTTTTTCGGCCGAATCTAAACTGGTGTTTTTCACAAAACATCAATGGAAACACTTTTTTCACATCACAGGAGTCACGTGATCAACAACCGTCTGTTTCTACTGGTGAAAAAGACGATGATGAAGAAGATAACAGGAAGTAGAAGTAGTAGTAATATCACAGAAGTAGTATAAAATAGTAAACTCAGCGACTACAATTTCCCAAAAACACAGCATACGTAGCCGCTCCCAAGTAGGGACTTGTCTCTGGAAAGCCTCGATAAAAGACGCCGACGTCTCCTCTGATGATGAGCGCTAGTGTCGTGGTAGCAACATGCTATGTGTTTACATCCATCGCTGCCATGTTTGTAATGACTTATTATGAGAACAAACGTATTCACGTGACTTTAATAACATTTATTACTTCATGGAAACACTGCAGCTGTGAAACTGTTTTTTTACATTAACAGAATATCAACAAAGTCTTGTGCACATTTGTAATGGAAACACAACTACTGATCAGTTTTGCCAGTGCTCACTCTGTCATCCATCTTCGCTTTCTCCTCCTTCTCTATATCTTTCTTCTTTGTTGAAAGACTGAATGCAGTCTTGACAAACGTTAGAGAACAGACTGCCCTCAGATGTTTCAGTTTCTCATTTCACTTAGAACAAACCCCAAACATGGGTCTTTCTGACTGGGACTGATTATTGGGACTGATCTGTATATCAATAAAATCTGTGTCAGTAATATTTTGTAGTTGATTATGATGATTATATTCATTGTAGCTCTATCACCAGGTAAAGTGTATTTTCCAAGTGATTTTGTTTTAACTTTGTGTTTGTTTTTTAAGTTGATTCAGGATGAAATTAAGGCTCTCGTTCAGCTTCAGAACCGCCAGAGCAGTGTTCACCCACAAACAGAGTTCACTCCAACTCCACTGACCAAAACTACCACAAACACAAAGGGATACATTTTCCCTATCACTCCCAGTGACTGTGCAATTCTTCAAAATGTGCACAGTGATAATGACAATGATAGCCTAGCAGCCCCTATCTGTACTCCTGTTAGCTCCCCTTCACCTCCACCTGCCCGATCAGGGACCAACAACCATGGGGAGGAGCGAGCCATCACAGTGCTCAGCAGTGGATATGGAACCCTGTCTGCCTGGGAAACTGGTGTAGAACCTGCTGAGTCTCCAGGGAGTATGGACAAGGACTGGGAGGATGGTCAAGAAAGGAAGAAGCATCAGTGGGTCATGAATCTCCAGGAAGACACAGAAACAACTGTTCCTGGTTACCAGCAGAATTCTACCAGTGAGAGGACCATCAGAGTGGATGAACCTAAACCAACAGTAAACCAGAAGAATGCATCAGGGTAGGTCTTAGCTCTTTGAGTTCCCTCAGAGTTGTGTGTAATGGTATGACTGAGTCACACTTCAGCAAATACCTTTGTATAAGGGTGGTGGTTAAATGTGATTTGGTACGACATAAAAAAGAGAGCAGTAATGTGTTTTTTTTATTTACTAGCTGTGTTTCCATTGACCATGAAAATGCGCAAATTAGAATTTATAAAATAAATTTGCTCAATGGAAACACATCAATTTAGAAAAAAATTACGTTTTTCAACTAAATGTTTTTGCTCTAGGATGAGGTGGTTTTTCAGCCGTATTAAAATTGGTGTTTTTCACAAAACTACAATGGAAACAGTTTTTTCACATCACAGGAGTCACGTGATCAACAACCGTCTGTTTCTACTGG